GACTGTTCATACAATAAACATTATCAATAATGAAGAGAGAAAAAAAAACACGAATAACGAGCGAACATACACGTATAAATTGAAGACCCGATGATCAAATAAAAAGAAAAGAAAAACAAAAAATAAAAATTCTCTTTTTCTGTGCCCCTCTTTTTTCGTTGAAGAATATTGCGAATTTCTCGATGTAAATGGTAAAGAAAATCAACATAAGATGCACCACCTGTAAAACCTTTATCTTCGACGAGATAATTTTTAAAAAATGATTCAAGTGGATCACGTTGTTGAATAACAAAAAGCTAAAAAGATAATTAATAGAAAAAGATTTATATATTCCGTTCAAATTAACATACTTTCATATAAGAATTTCGTTCATCACGAATCATATTTAATAATGTTCGAACATTTTTTGATAAAGGATTATCAAGTTCAACAGCGCGACACTGAAGATAAACAAAATATTCTTTAAAATAAATTCTAAGTTTTATTACTTTTTCTGGTTGAATATGAGATGCTGATGGAAGACCAAAGACACATTGCACAAATGTAGAATCAAGTTGACTACCAAGCCAAATATACATAACAAGACCATTCTCTAAAAGATATTTATTTAATCTAGTAAAATTAATTAAAAGATTTATTATCTTACCAATAACATAAGCGCCTGTATCAGCAAAACGTTCATATAAACAGCGAATCATTGATGGTGGAATAGAGTTTTCTTCCAAAGTATGCTAAATAAAATTTCAATATATAAATAAAAAATTTTTCTTCTATATAATCAACAGACCAATGGATAAATTCTTGGATATATATATGTAGATGTTCCTTTAATATTCATTGACATTAATCGATGAATTAACCAACTTCGATCATCAGTAGTTAATGTCAGAGCTATATAGAAAATTATTCTTTTTTTACAAATAAATATTCAATAAATTTTAACATACTTCCAGTTAATGCATCTGATTCAAGTAATGAAGCTACATAAACAGGTAATAATTTTAATGTTTCAGGTAAAATTAATTGTCCAGCTGTTGTTGCCTGTGCACAATGTTTTCGATAACATGCAAGCATATTTGCAGCTTGTGTTATTATACTATCTCGTATACTTTTTGGAGTTGACATTAATACTGAACGCATAGCTTTATAAAACAAAACAAAACAATTTATTGAAATAAAATTTTTTCTTTTATTTTTCCACTAACCAACTTTTGTTATATAATTCATAATTGTATCAAGATCACAAGCTGGATAAAGTGTCGTATATGATGATGTAACTGTTAATGCTAATGTTATTATTCTTAAACGACGTTGACCAGATATACTTGTATAAAGCAAAGCAACCTATAATATAATAAAAATATGGAAAAAAAAAATAAAAGTCAATAACACTTACTTGAGTATAGGTATTACCATCAGCAGATAATTTATCCTCATGTTTTAATTCAACAGATACTGATTTATCAGAATCAATTGTACCAAATATCATTTCAGTTGCATTTGTCATATAAAAATTACCAAGAAAATCAATTGGGCCAATTCCTAAACATACATATGAATCATATAAAATGTTTTTCAGATTGATTTCTCTTACCTGTACTTGTTCGTACACGCATTAATGCATCAAAAGCAGTAGTTCGTTGAAAATTACGTTTAAGTTCATCTAATAAACGTTCACCATCATTCTCAATCTTAAATATATAAAATCATTTTTTTGTTGATATATAACATGGATAAAGAAAATCTTACTGAAAAGTAATTAAATTTATAAATTTCTCCACCAGATATACGACAAACTTCACCAATCGTTGCAAGATCATAATAATTATTCGGAAAAACAAATAGATCGACAGCGCAACCATTCTGAGCACATTCTTCACCAAGTTTAGTATAAATATTATTAACGGGTGATAGAAGTGTCTTTTCTTTTTCAGTACCAAGTGCTTTCTTATCTTCTCGATTTGATAATTTTCCTGGAGCCATATCGATTGGCATTGTTGTAGAAAATACATAGATTTTACCAGAACAGTTGGCTCCCTAATTAATATCATATAGATTAATATTTTTATAAATAATTCAAATTAAAAACAATCTTACTTTTAATGCTTGAATGCCAGATTGGATGACTGGTGCTAAAATTGTTTCTGTTTCTTGTGAATTTGCAAATGTTTGTGGAATTTGATCAAGTAAACTATACATAAAACAATAGAAAAATATTTCAAAAACTTTCGATCGAATTTCTGCTTACCTATTAATCACTCCACGTGAATCTTGTGGTGAACAAAGAAAACCTTCAAGTAAAGGTACAAATATCTCTTCAAGATCAGAGACTACCATCATTTGTGGTTGTCCAAGTGAAGTCTAATAGGAAGAAAAAACAAAAATTAAATATATATTCAAAATAAAATAAGGGTGTTTTTCTAGTATTAATACAATGAATTTGACATGAACAATACAACATTAAGATTACATGCTCAAAACTAGATGTTAGAAGACTGTTAGACAACTAAAGCATTAGACAAAACAAAATATAACATGCTCTTTCTCATTCTCTCTCTCTCGCTATGAATGTATATTTTACTTGCCCCCTAAAAGATAGACAGTCAAATCAATGATTAAATAACTGTTAAACATAAATCAAATATTTTACTTTAATATTGTAAAATTGTAGGGTGTGGGTGTGGGTGTGTGATATGGGTATGAGTGTGATACTCTTTTCATCACCCATATCCATCACACCCTTGCCCCTACCCTTAAGATCACTTCTTGACTCAAATGACTTTCACCAGGTTTTTTAAGCATTTCATTTTGATTTATGTTTATTCAGAAAAATTTACATGTGAATCGTAACACAAAAAGAACTATGAACAAGAACAAACAGTGATAGTAACAGTCGTATCTCATTGCAGACGATGTGGTAGTATCATTTGTGATAGCGTATCGATCCCACAATCGTGAACAAGTAGGATAATAATAATGATTTCTCATGTGTGGCTTAATTTGCACAACAAAATCACTATCGGTCGAGGCAAGATAAGTATTCCAATTGGCTGGGTTTCCATTGTAATTAGGATTCGAATTATAGATGAAATGGGCCCAATATAACATCATACTGCTAGAGAGTTGTTGATCAGATGTAGTAAAAGTATAATTACGATAGTAATAGCTAAGAATCGTTGGAAAGAGCATAGGAAGTTCGACACCATGAGTTACACCAGCCCATGATGGTGCAGCAGATACGAGATGGTTATATGTATATAAATAAGTTGGTAATCCATAATTAGAGAATCTAGTAGCGATACGTCTTGCTCCACAGTGCACCCAAGCGTCCGTATATATTATGTTTAGATATGTAAATGGATTATCAAAGGCGGATATGGGACCATAGATCGTAGGAATCTCATCGATAATGGTCGCATTGTATAGTGTCTTGAGAAATTCTTCAACTTGTGTGCTGTTGACCTTATCACCAAACATCCTATATGTGTATGACGTTGTCTCGTTCACTGTGGATCCGATCAATATAGGAACTTTCTGAAAGTTTCCTCTTGCA